CTCAGGTCTCTCTCTCTCTCTCTCTACTATATCTACTATATAGCTATAGGTTTAGTTAGGTCACACACGACAAGGGCTTATACTATAGTCTATACGATTTATATGGGTGTTATGCTTCTTTGAAGGGTGAAGACAAAAAAAATGGGGTGGGGCATGATGTGTGCGGGTAGTATGTATTTTGTAGTTAATTTCATTACTGGATGGTATTTTGAAATAAGACTGTAATTTACTCTCTTGTGAGAATTTGGGTGGCCCTGAAAAGGGCCGTTTGAGTGCTCTTCGGGAGACTGACTGGTAAGCAAAAGCTTAACCTCCGAATCCGTAGAGGGTTCGGCCTTGTCTCTTCAAAGCATAGACGACATCCATGGCAGTGACGGTCTTCCTCTTGGCATGTTCAGTGTAGGTGACAGCATCTCGAATGACGTTTTCTAAGAAGACTTTCAATACACCTCTGGTTTCTTCGTAGATAAGGCCGGAGATACGTTTGACACCACCTCGTCGAGCTAGACGTCTAATAGCTGGCTTGGTAATACCTTGGATGTTATCACGGAGAACTTTCCTGTGACGCTTGGCTCCTCCTTTTCCTAAACCTTTTCCTCCCTTTCCTCGTCCAGACATGGTAGCAGTTTGATATTCGTACCTTACACTTGTAACGTAAACTGAATAATGATTCGAANATTTTTAGCCTGACTATATGAATGCCGCGCGCGGACCTATGAGAGGCCCTCACATTTGATTTTACGAATTTGACCAAATACCTGATACGTTCAAAATCCTTCTTTCGCGTTGAAATGGGGTTTTGAGCCTAAGACATCTTTCCCAATAGTCAAAATTGGTTAAATTTTCAAAATAAGGCAAGGGGAAAGGTTTTAATTTGACCCACTTCACTAGCTTTATCGCTTGCCATTGTAAACGTATGGCGCGAGCGCGGACCTATGAGAGGCCCTCACATTTCTTAACTTGAAACAGTCGTACGACTGCAGAAAATTCAATAGTAGCC